ATATATATATATATATATATATATATATATATATATATATATATGATATAGATATATATATGTATATATATATCTACCGAAAAGCTTCGATGGAACGACGATTGATTAGCCAAATTTATATGTATACATATATATACATATGAACGATACTGGTATATGTATGTGTATATATACATATAGTTTATTTCTTTTTGTACAGCGGAATTGTATGCTTTGCAGCCCTGCTCCCCACCGCGCGTCGGTTTAAAAGCGAACGTCTTTTCTTTTCTTATAATTCATCGTCTGTCGATGGTACTTTTTTTGTGATTTTTCGTAGTGTTTTTTTTTTCATTTTACATCTGGTTTTTTGGTTTTTATCTCGCTTAAACGTCTACACGAATACAGAGCTAAGAATGCTCGCGATCGCGTCGAGCTTGCCGCGAATGCCGTTTAATCGATAACAAGATACCGAAAAAAGAAAGAGGTCGATCGTTAAGTAAAAGGCGAATCACGAGTTAGCGATTTCATGGACGACACTTGCATCGACCTTACCCCTATAATTCTTACCGTCTGTGAGATTATACGAGAGTAAGTGGTAACACGTTTTCCTTAAACATTACGAAGATTTGATTCGTTCAGCTAATTTGTCAGAGAAGCGTCTTCGAATTAGCGGCGTGACTATCCGACAAGAGAAGAAAAGAAGTCAAGAAATCGAGCGTGTGTACGTGTTTATCGTGTTCCGTGTTCTACGCGCATATTCTTCCGTTTATACTCAATCCTCTTCCTCCTCCTTCTCCTTCTCCTTCTCCCTCTCTTCTCTTTCTACTTTTTCTTCTCTTTGGCCATCTTCGCTGCGTGTTTCGTGTTTGTGTACATGTGTTCGTGTGAGTTCGTTGTCGATCGGTCGCTGGATCGAACTCGTCGGGAAATTGTGCTTTTAACCGTAATCGCGTGTAGTGAGTAAAGGACGAGAAAAAGGCTAATCCACCAATACGATGCGAGAGTGCGCCCCTCCTTCGCGTTCTCCCGGTCACAGATCTTTGCCGATCCTTGATTTTCTTCTCTGCGCTTCTTACCCTCCTCTTCTCTTCTCTTCTCTTTTCTACGAACAGCCGTCGATAACCGCGCGAAACACGCGGACAGTCCGTCGATTTTCCTTCGATTCGACGATCGACCGGTGGAGAGTCCTCTCGACGATCGCCTCCTCCGGTGCCCAGTGCCGGTCTACGAGGTGCCCTTATAGTGGATGAAGAAAAAGGTGAGGAACATGAAATAGGCGACCGGGAAGGTGATTCTCGCTATCACGTCGATCGTCTTCGCTACGCGGATCGGATGCGGCGGCTCCTTTTTTCTCAGCTGCAACAGACACACAAGCGACACTGATTCCGAGCACACCGAACCTAAGCGTTCTGTCGCTTTCGCGAAATTGCTTTTGAATAGTTTTGCCACATTTTGGAGAACAGATAGTTCTCTTTCATCTGACTCGATCTGTGAGAGAAAATATTTAGAAAATAATATTTATATATTTATAAATATAAATAAATATAAATATTTAGAATATGTTGTTATATGGTGCAGAGTAGGCATGACGAGACTATACGATGAATAATTTTTCTCATGAATCGAGTCAGACAATACAGTGCTATTTATTCTCCAAAATACAGTACAATACTAGTGACTCCATATAGTATCATGCCGGCTGTTTGAAGGTTAACCCTAAACTCCGGTCGACCCTGCACTTAATAATTGAAAAATCGAAAATCTGCAATGGGATCGTTTCGATTTCCCTGGAATTATGGTTCTGTTTGTTGTTAATTTATTAGCTACTCGCATCGGGTCCGATAAAAGCAGCCACGAAGGCTCAACGAGTTCGAACCGATTTTTTAGCTGTCTGCTCGTCGCTTCCGATTCGTTGAATAGACCCGACGGTATACAATATTTTCGGCGAACGAAACAGCCTGTCCGATGAACGAAGAAGGGTTGAGTTAGATTGCGATGGGGAGGATTAGCGGTGGCGACGCGTATCGGCCACCGGTTGTCGGGATCCGTTAGCTAGATATTTCGAGATTGATGGGAGAGCAATTAACATACCTCGGCGGTGCATCCGTTGGTGGCCGTATGCGTGCAGGGATTAGGTCCACAGTTGGTGCAGGTCACGATCTCGTTCGGTCCTGTCGTAGCTCCTGGTGGCGGACCGCCCTCTCGCTTCTTTTTACCCTGCGACAGGGTCTCCGTAGAAGAATCTTATAGCGTTACGTGTGATTCGTGGCAAACAACGATCCATTCTTCGAGCAGCTTCTCTTCGACATTTCTCGGATCTATCGCCGGATCTACGGCGGCGATCGCGATCGTTCGAGAATGACAAGCGTACAAGTTAAGCGGTGACATGGAGGCGCTTTGATCTTTCGGCTCTCGGCTTTGGGTATTAGGCATTCGGCGGACAAGCTTGCACGTACAGGCGTGAGAATTCCCCGGAAAGACGGATCACCGAACGGATTCCGACCGCGTCTCGATAGATCGATCGGCCGACGAGCATACCGTCTCGAGGAACTCGTCGAAAAGTGGAATCGTTGTTTTCTTTTCTCTTAAATAAGTAGTAGGTACACGATCAATGTATATCGATCAACACTTTCGTGCCTCTGTGTGTATGTATAACTTACGAATTACATGCCGTACAATGTATAACATCTACGTATTGTAATTAGACTGACGCGCATCGAACTCGAGCGTCGACCGAGCGGCATCGACGTCTCGATCGTCGTTGCCAGTACGAACCCCTTGCCCTTCCCCGTCTAGCCGATATGTGCCCGCCGAGCGATCCTTCCCTTCCCCACAGTTTCCGCCGAGACCATTTGGCCGGACTACCGGGTGGTCGTAGTCAGTGCAATCACGAAAAGTCACTACGCTAGAAGTGGGGTGGCGACGCATGCGCAGAGAGTGCCGCATGTATGCGCATGCGTCGCCACCCCACTCATAGCGTAGTGACTTTTCGTGACTGCGCTGAATACGACCACCCGGAGTCCAGTCACGTGGTCTCGGCGGAAAGAGTGGGGGAAATGACGGACCGCCCGGCGGTCGTGGACGACACGTGGAAGGGCAAGGTGTCGAAAATCGATGGGACGCCGTCCCGTGGCATCCCTGGTCCCGATGCGACTTCGATCGATTCCAATCGACTTCGATGCGGACATCGGCCCTTCCTATAACAAACTGTACAGAATCTAGGGCCTAGGTTGTCGTCGACGTTGACCAATTCGACGTTGGTCTCCCGACCAACAGCTTCTTCTCCCGATCGTCGCGCAATTTACCGATCCTCCGTCTTTGCGTCAAGCTTATGCTTATGCTGATGCTTAGGCTTATGCGTATGCTTATGTTTATGCGTTTATGCTTATGCTTATGCTGATGCTGATGCTACGCGTCAAGCTCAATCGGGGTAAGTTTGCTTCTCGATACACGATTCCTTTCGCACAAGGTATTCCAGCAATTCGATTCCTTGATCGTAAGGTTCGTTTGCGGGAGAGATCGAATCGGTGGAGATCGAACCTTCCCGCGTACGTTCATGATCAAGAAAAAATAATAAATAATCGAGAATAAAAGATAGACAATGAAGAATAAAAATAAAATAAAGAAAATAGGGAAGAATATATCGACTTCGTTGGTCTACGTTAGTCGTGTTTAAAGAGCAAACGATAAGTTCAACTTATTAATTCATTGTCTGTTTTAATTGTTATCATAATTATGTAATCTAATCTATCTTCTGGCTGCCTCTTACCTCACATCATGTCATTGTGCATTTATGTGTACTCAAATCGGTATCACCCGCGCATTAAACATGAAACGTTAAAGAAAAAATGTTGTCCGTCGTAAGAACGGAGGATCCTCTCGTCGACGAGCAACGACGTCGGATCGGGACGGTAAAAGGCCGCACGTAAATCACACAGGACGCAAGCCTCGCATACTATCGTTGCTATCTCTAAACGACTGCGAGATCAACTATAGTTACTGAAGCGAAGCGTCAACATTGGCCGCCTTCCTGTCTCGGCTGTTGGCCGACTTTCGGAGCACGCACTGTCGCGACTCTACGCGCATGCTATCGATCGCTCGATCGCCCACGGTGTCCCTCCCGATCGAGCGATCGTTGCTCTTCTTTCCCCGGTCCCCGGATCAGGGCCCGTCCCGATCTCCGGCACGAAATTACGACAAGAGAGAAATGGAGAGACCGAATCGTCGCGGAGACGGAAGGATTATAACTTGTAACGGTCCCGAATCGGTCGCGTGGTCCTCGAACGAAGCGACTTGGACATCGGTAGTCAGCATCTCGTCGAGGCGACAAGGTACAGTGTGTGATCGAACAAAGTATCTCTCACCCGACGTACAGCATGCCTAGTGCAGCGTGCAATCGTTGCACCGTTCGTGCTTGTTCTCTCGTATCGCATACGTAAGTAAGTATAGATAGATTCGTGCGTGTTCGTGCGTGTTCGTGCGTACCATGCGGTCTCATGCAGACTCATGCAATCTCATGCAGTCTTATGCAGTCCCGCATGCGTCAGGATGCGCGATACGTACGTTGGAGCGTACCTCTGCGATCGACTCTAATTGCGGATTCATGCAAAACGGAGTCTCCGGCTTTGGATTTACGAGTGAAACAGAGACAATGACGGAAACAGAGACGGGAACAGGGGTAGGGACAGGAGTAGAGAGGGGAATGGGGGTTGGGATAGGGATAGGGATAGAGGTAGGGATAGGGACAGAGACAGGGATAGGGATACAGATAAGGGCAGGGACAGAGGCAGAGATAGGAACAAGGGCAGGGGCAGAGGTAGGGACAGGGGAAGGGACAGGGGCAGGGACAGAGACAGAGACAGAGACAGGGACAGGGACAGAGACAGAGACAAAGAGAGACAGAGATACAGACAGAGTCAGAATCAGAATCAGAATCAGAATCAGAGATAGAGACAGAGACAGAGACAGAGACAGAGTCAGAGTCAGAGTCAGAGTCAGAGACAGAGACAGAGACAGAGACAGAGACAGAGACAGTGTCAAAGAGGGACCAGAGATAGAATCAGAGACAAAGACAAAAAAAGGGAGAGAGAAAGGCAGAGATAGAGATAGAGATAGATATAGATATAGATATAGAGATAGAGACAGAGACAGGGGCAGAGACAGAGGCAGAGGCAGAGGTAGAAGCAGAGGCAGAGTCAGGGGCACAGACAGAGTCAGAGACAGAGACAGAGACAGAGGTAGAAGCAGAGGCTGAGACAGAGACAAAGATAGAGATAAAGACATAGACGGAGACAAAGACAGAGACAGAGACAGAGACAGAGGTAGAAGCAGAGGCTGAGACAGAGACAAAGATAGAGATAAAGACAGAGACAGAGATAGAAATAGAGATAGAGATAGAGATAGTGGAAGAAAGAGAGAGAACAGGAGAGCGCTTCCTTCGGAAAAGACTGGACCGAGAGATCGATCTCGAGATCTAGTAAATCCAAGCCGCGTGTCGTTGCGATGCGTTAAGGGCGCAAGTTCTAGCTTCAGGCGCAAACAACGTCCTACAGCTCGGCTATTGTTTGTACTTCTACCTTATATTTCCGAACAGGGTGCTCGCAAAATTCGTCCTTCTGCGTAGCTATTCCCGCGAAACGGAGGATTGAGACTGATTTCATCATCGGTGACGGAAAAAGAGAGTGAGAGACAGACAGAGATAAAGACAGAAAAAGTGAAAGAAAGAAAGAGAGAGAGAAAGAAGAAGAGAGAAATAGGCGGAGTCGGAGAAGTGATACGATCCAGGGGGATCGCGCGAAGAATTTTGCGGCATCCTGGAAAACTTTGATGCGGTTGCGTTGCACGTGGATCCATGCGCTTCGGTCATGCACCGTTGCAATAGTAGTATAGAGATTAGAGGCTAGATATCTATCGGAGAGAGAAAGAGTGAAACTGAGAGAGAAAGACCAGAGAGAGAATAGAGGTTGAGAGGAGCGGCAAGAGACAGATATGTGTCTGTATCTAGAGAAAAAAAAGATGGATAGAGAGAAAGAGAAAGAGAGAGAGAGAGAGAGAGAGAGGGAGAGAGAGAATGAGAGAAAAAGAGGGAAAGAGAGAAAGAAAGAAAGAAAGAAAAAAAGAGAGAGAGGATAGACAGTCTGAGAACGGTGATAAAAATGGCATGGGCGCAAAGGCGAAGAGAATACAGTCGGTGAGCAGGTTTCGATAGGAGTCGAGGGGGATGTTCTTCTTCCTTGATTAACGAAGTCTTTGCGCGATCCGAGAGACTCGAGGCAAATATAGGACAGGTAAACCTATCGATCCTTTTCGAACATCCCGCTCGACGCGTCCCTCGGACAGAATGCAGAGCGAAGGCGATTAGACGATTAGACGATTAGGCGAATAGGCGAATAGGCGAGTAGGCGAGTAGGCGAAAGCGAAGGAGGGCCAGAAAGATAAAGGTAGTCCGTTCTCTCGAACGGCTGCGAGAGAACGAGAGCGTGTTTTGCCCGTGTGTTTAGCGGCGTGTATCCTTCTTTGTGTTCGTGTATGTCTGTGTGTCCGTGTGTTTGGGTCTCTAAGTGTTTGCGGAGAAGTGTTAGCGTTCGTGTGATTCGTCAGGACGCGGTTAAGACCTCGCACGTGGCACACCCTTGTCCGCGTAACGTTCCCGAGCTCGCGTGGGAATCAACGTGAAAACGATCGAACGATCGATCCCCGGATCGTCTCTCTCGATGTTCTCGGAAACGAATCGTCCTCTCGCCTCCGCTTCGGATCGGCTCCGCCCGACAATCGACGATCGATCGCAGGAAATTGGGAATTGGAAAAATCACGAGTCGGAAAGCGGGAAATTGGCGGTGGGAAATCGGTGTATAGTGAACAGGTGGAGAAACGACGATCGAACGCGTGGCTCGGCGGAGCGATCGAATCGGTTTGCACGCCGCGGCGGAGATAAACGCGAACGGAATTTGTCCGTATGAAAGTCGAAGCGATTAGGGGTTTCCGTGGAGAACGCGCCAAGTCGTGACCGCGCCCTAATGCTATGGGGGGTCTTACCAAGGGGCTGGCCAATATTATCCCTATCCTGCTGAGCACCGCTGGGAGCCGCTGCAACATCACAGACACCAAACAAAGAGACTTACTCACCAACATTTCCACCAACCAAATTCTTACTAATCGTGTGAGTGTGGGTATCTGTACGCGCGTGTTCGTGTCAGTCTGCTTCTGTCTGCTGTATACTATGTTTTGGGTGTGCGCTTGTTTTTGCGTGTAACAACGTGTACGTCTTCCCCTCGCATCATCCGCACATTTTCTTAGTCGTTCGTTAAACGTCGTTTCCGTATCTCTTTAGCCGTTTTCGATTCTCGTTTCCCCGTGGATCTGCTGGCACTAATCGCGATCTAACCGAGCACGTCGATCCCCTCGTCATCGTTCCTCGATCCATCGCATTTTTGTTTTGCAATTTTCTAGCGGCGCGAGTTGTCGATACGATCCGAAGGAATAAAGATGCGCCCCTCGAGTTCTCGAGGAGAGTGAAACAACGCGGATCCGACGACGTCCGTTTCGATTTTCCACTTCCACCTATCGGTCCTGATTCGCTCGAAAGACACAGACGGGAAGAAAAAGAGAGAGAGAGAGAGAAATAGAGAAAGAGAGAGGAAGAAAGAAAGAAAGAATCAAAGAAAGAGAGAGAAAGAGAGAGAGAGACGGTGGAATGTTTGCGTACCCGCTCCTCCCGATGGTTTTCAGGCCTCTCTCGCATCGCGCATCGCCACGACAACTCTCGACAAATTGTACATGCAAAGAACACAAAACACAATACGATCTGCCAGCAGAGCAGTGACGTGACAATCCTCGGTTTCGTCGGTAAGTTTCTTGTGATCCCGAGTGAAACGCGAACAAAGAAGCGGGTGAGAAAGAGAGAGAAACAGAGAGACAGATATAGAAAAAGAGAGAGAGAGAGAGAGGGATGGGACGGTTTCGGGCTCCACGATGCGGTTGTTTTCGACGCAAGAGAACACAGACTTTGGTCTTTTGCGATCGAAAACCGGAGCTGGGGCCCTTTCTCGTCCGTGTAATGACGGTGCACCGACATTTCCGAGAGACAGAAACAGAAAAGAGATATGTAAGTGTACCGTTGCTGGGGTCGCAATGTACTAACCATGAAATAGAGTAAAGAGAGTAGAGATAGATGGAGCGAAAGAGAAAGATAAAACCAAGTAGGTCAAAGAGATAGAGATAAAGAGATAGATAGATAGATAGAGAGAAGTCAGAGCGAAACTATAGGAGAGACATGCAAGTACTGCAGCCTCGGCCGAGTCCGACGAGAGTACAGGAAACGATGGATTCTCGTTGGTCCGTCGTCGGGTGGTTTGCGTTTCCGTTTGCTTTCCGCTTCGATCGTCGCGGTGTTTATTCGAGCCCGTTTCGAACCGGGGAGAAAGAGATCGCGAAACCCGTCCCACGATTGCTCGAAGCGACCGGCGCCGTCACCTGTCCTTTCTCGATCCTCGTCGATCGTCCCAAGGATCGATCCGACACCCGCGGGCGCGAATCTCGAACGTGAACGGGAGTTCACCGGGGTTACGGGAGCGAAGTAGAAATGCATTGGCGGAGAGATCGTCGACGGAAGCGGGCAAACCTTTCGTCTCCGATTTTCTGGCTGTCTGGTGTTCTGATTCTCTGATTTTCTGGCATCGAGCGCGGCGGTTTGCTCGCCTCCGCGTCGGGCTTCCAGCGGGAAAAAACACAAATGGAACACGAGTTCTCGCGCAAACAGGTGCTCCGTTGATCATTCTCAAAGAAACACGCACACTCGGTGTTCGGGGCTCGTGTCTCAAAACAAAAGGAAGACACGCCATGTGGTGTTGACATGTGACCGGCTATCGTTTACGCCGTATGCGAAGTATAATGATGTCGCCTCTGTCGGATCCGCGAGAGATCCGTGGATCCCGCGGCGCGAATAACCACTTCCGTCGATCGCGAGAAGAGGTGTGTCCCCGCGACAATTCGGAAGTAGAACATGGTACGACACAGCGTGAAGAAGAAGTGGAAGAAGTATAGATAGTAGAAGAAGAAGAAACGTAAGCGGTGAGATCGTTCGAAAAAAGAGAGAGTGAGAGAGAGAGAGAAGGGGCGGGGAGATAGAGAGAGAGAGAAAGAGAACGACGCGATAGACAGAACGACTGGAAGAATAGAAGAACGAAAACGGTTTTGGATCGAAAGTAACGGGGTAAGAGGGGGTAATACGCGTTCCAAACAGAAAGGTGAGAACGAGCACGATTAGACACAGACGGAAAGGGAAACAAGAAGCGAAAAACCAATATCGTGAGACCGAGCAACAAATCGTGTGTGGAACGTGGGGGTGTTTGGTGGGGCAGAGACAAAAATCGACAGAATGTGAGCGACAACAGTTTCCGCCGCGCTGGCGGCGGCTAATCAAACGGTAAAGTATAAAATATAAAGTTCTAGAAAGAGAGAGAGAGAGAGAGAGAGAGNTGTTGACATGTGACCGGCTATCGTTTACGCCGTATGCGAAGTATAATGATGTCGCCTCTGTCGGATCCGCGAGAGATCCGTGGATCCCGCGGCGCGAATAACCACTTCCGTCGATCGCGAGAAGAGGTGTGTCCCCGCGACAATTCGGAAGTAGAACATGGTACGACACAGCGTGAAGAAGAAGTGGAAGAAGTATAGATAGTAGAAGAAGAAGAAACGTAAGCGGTGAGATCGTTCGAAAAAAGAGAGAGTGAGAGAGAGAGAGAAGGGGCGGGGAGATAGAGAGAGAGAGAAAGAGAACGACGCGATAGACAGAACGACTGGAAGAATAGAAGAACGAAAACGGTTTTGGATCGAAAGTAACGGGGTAAGAGGGGGTAATACGCGTTCCAAACAGAAAGGTGAGAACGAGCACGATTAGACACAGACGGAAAGGGAAACAAGAAGCGAAAAACCAATATCGTGAGACCGAGCAACAAATCGTGTGTGGAACGTGGGGGTGTTTGGTGGGGCAGAGACAAAAATCGACAGAATGTGAGCGACAACAGTTTCCGCCGCGCTGGCGGCGGCTAATCAAACGGTAAAGTATAAAATATAAAGTTCTAGAGAGAGAGAGAGAGAGAGAGAGAGAGAGAGAGAGAGAGAGATGTAAGAGAGAAGCGTCGCGCGGGACCTCTCGACTCGCATACGTTTCGGAACGCGAAACCGAAAGAATCGTAAGAAAGAGAAAGAAAATACGAAACGTATATAATAGATATAGACAGACAGACAGACAGACAGATATGGATAGATAGTTAGAAGATAGAAAGACAGATAGTAGATAGATAGATTAGATAGATAGATAGATAGATAGATAGATAGATTAGATAGATAGATAGATAGATAGAGGTGTAGGAATAGAATATGCAGGTGTTGTCGGCGGGCGTGGTGTCGTAAAAGTACCTGGGTCACGGGATTCTCTCCGGGACGATAGACGACGTTGTGCATCGGCCGCTTCCGGCCGACGTAGTTCACGCAAACGAACTCGAGTAGACTGGCGTAGATGAAGCACATGCACACGCCGTCCCACACGTTCATGGCAGTCAGATTCGACACGACCGGAAGCGTCGACCGGAAACCGTTCGACGTCGTGAAGAAGTTGAGCATCGTCGTCACACCTGCGAACAGATCGTCGATCCTTCACTTCCTCGTACTTTTATCAGCGTCGGGGCAAACCTAATTGAAAAGTTTATGTTTCGCGAAAGCACATTGCAACGTTTTACTCGCTGGTCTGGGTTAATCTTGCCGGCAACGCGGAAAGAGGAAGCAGCGTGCCCCCGCGAGGGCGCGCGAAAGAGAGAAAGAGAGCCAGAGATTGCACTTTACGTCTTCGGCCTCGTTCCATGCATCTTCAACACCGTGTTATTTCTCGGCGGGATTACCCAGCCGCGGCGCCGCGTCGGATTGTTTCATCGTTCCGACGACGTCGGCTCGTTAAAAGTTAAAAAGCTCGGACGAAAGAGGAAGATTTTCCGGGGTCCGACGCCGGCGTCGGCGCGGCACGAATCTTCCGCGTGCTCTCTCTTTCCCCGGGTAAGCAGCCTCGCTGCGGAATCGATTCTTTTTCCGCGGCCGGCCGTGCCTCGGGGCGCGAGCGGACTCGCTCGAGGTGCTCGAGGTGTTTGCGCTCGGACAATTGGCTAAATGATGCGCCGAGAGTTGAAAGGCTTACCGATCATCACTCTCGCCGGCACGGCGTTCCACTCGAGCCAGAAGGTGATGAAGGAGCTGGTCACCAGAATGATCCCCGGGATGAAGACCGTCGTGAAGTAGAAGGCACGATCTCGCGTGAAAATCAGATCCACCTTCAGGCAGCTGTAGTTACCTATCACGGCATTGCATCGATCATTACGATTGTGCCTCTCCCTCGATCGTCGGAGCGAGCGAGCGAGCGATAGTTATTCACCGGGAATTAGAAAAGCGGTTAGTGGTGTCTCAGGTTTGCCTTTTGTCGTTTGCGCGAGAAAGATCGTTCGGCGAATGAGAGCAGACGCGCGTCGTTATCGCTTTTCCTCGCTTTTTCACGAATCCGTCGTCTCCTCGCAACCCTACCCCATCGTCTCAGCCCCGTCCCCACCGGCGTCCATCGTGTCGTCGTTTCGTAACAGAAACCGACGCCGAAAACGTTCCTTTCGTTCGACTATCGATCGATGGAACCGAGAACGTTCCGTTCGTGAATCGCGAGTCGAAACGCGTACACGGCTTCCACGAGAGCTCGCGGTGGATAATCAGCTTGCGGGTTTTGGGGAAACTGAACGAACCATCGAACAAAGACGAACGAAAAAAATTACTGAAAAAAAACCAGGGCTAGAAAAAGAAGAAGAGATAGGACGAGAGGACACGGTCGTGTCGACAACTTTCCGCAGTGAAGCTCCACATTCGCGAAAGCGTTTCAAAGCCGAGCTAGATGGTACCATCGAACGCGTAAACGTCAAAGAGGGTGGAAGTTCCAGGACGAAGGAAGCTGGTCGTCCGGCGAGGGGTAACCGTGACACGCTGCAAACCGAGCGCGGTGCGAACGGGGACGAAACTGCGTTCGCAAACTTCGCTACTCTCGCTTCCCTTTTCGTTTCGATGACGATGCTCGACGAGCTACCGCAAAATAAACGACTCAACCAACGAAACAAAACACGTTTTCGGCCAATAACGGGCCGATAGTCGGGCTACAATGATCGGGCTAACAACGGACTAGCAACGGGTTAATAAAATGGGTAAGAGAGTCAGAGAGAGGACATTGGGGAGGAAGCGACGACGAGATTTGCTCGTCGTCGATCGAACTCGGGCCTGGATCGCTACGAGATCTCTCGTCGTAGGCGGTGTCGCTACAGATTACAGATTACAGATTGTATGTCGTATCGGTATCTTTGCGGCATGGACAGAAAAGAACAACAACAACTGGGAATAGAATGAAGCGTAAGCGAAGCGTAGGCCAAATGATTCAAACAAACGTTTGCCAAGATATTCGAACCACGGTCCGATGAATAATACGCCGTACGTACGTACGTACTCGTATATACGGGAGAAACGTGTGGGTGGGTTCAACAACGCTAATTACCATGTACATACAGTCCGAATGCTAATCTCTCGTAACGTTCTGTAACGCGACGTTTCGTCCAGCGATTAAACGCTGCGGGCCAGTGACCCCGTAAGACCCGTAGACATGCGGTTCAAACTTTCAACCCTTTCGGGCGTGTGTCGGTGCCCTGGACGGAGTTTAGGGCAGTGGCTCACGGGGTCCAACCACGTCTGGTTCAATCGCTCGACGCGGCGATCGGTGCACTCTGCGCTCGTATTCGAGCACCCCTGCACCGACGATCCGCGCTGCTTTCCCCTTCGTTCCGATCTATGCACTTCGTTTACGCGACTTCGATCGGGCCTCGCGCAATCGACGAGGAACCAGCGAATCGTCGGCGTCGAGGATCGTCGATCGGTACGATGCTTCCCAAAAACGCCGCTTCGTTCTGCGAGACGGACACGGTTCGATGCCGTCGAAGGAGGCTCGCGTCGCGCGAATCGAGATCGAAATCGAGATCGAACAGATCGAGGGGGCGCGCGCGGAAGGAACGCGGGGGGAAGACTCGCGGGAAAAACGGAGGGCCTGTGAAGGAAGATGCGGAGGAAGATGCGGAGGAAGATGCGGAGGAGGATGCGGAGGAGAATTTGGGAAGCATCGAGCGAGAATTCTCTAGGCCTGTCTCACGAGTTGGTAAGCTTGGTCCTGTCTCTCCCACCATTCTACTACGGCTTGTCTCTACATTGGTGTTGCGCAACGTGAAATATCTCCGATGTGGGAAACACGTTCGATCGTTGGCGGTCGAAGGGGAGGATTTTACCTTGCTCCTCAAACCTGCGCTGGCACAGCGAGCACTTTGAGTCCCCGAATTCATCGAACTCGTCCTCGTAGTCGACCATGATCTGTCCGTCAGCTGCAACAGAACAGCCCACGATCTTCCTTCCTCTCTTCTTTCCAACTGTACTTTTCGTTCTATTCTTGCGTTCTCTCTCTTTTCCCCCGTGTCTGATCGCCGCGGTGGTTACGCGCGCGATTGCGAACGCGAACGCGAACGCGGACACGGACGCGGACGCGATTCATCGCGTGGCGGTCTCGGGCGGACGGATAAATCTGGTGTCGCGCGATCGGGAACGAAACGCGGAGAAGTCGCGGAGATGCTACGCGACCGAACGGAGATCAGAAAAAACAGAAGAGTACATGAAGGGTTAGAGTATACAAAGCTGTATTTGATGCAACAAGAGCGGTTTCGCCGCGGCTAGACGGAAAGCAGGACCAACACGCACACACACGCACACGCACGCGCACACACAATAGAACACAATCGACGACGGGTATCATCGCGATCGAATCGACACGCGGCAAGATCTATCCGTCCTTCCGGATTACCATGCGATTACCGAGATCTCCTATCGGGCGAACGGGAATGGAAATTTATACAATGATATCGCGATCCGCGGAGTTAGAGTACGTGTCATCGGGCATAGAGGAGATTTGAATCGTTGGGCTAACTAGACCAAGCATTACCCGTATTCCGCCATGGTTGATCTCTTCAGGGTAAAGATGTCTTGTCCCGTCCGACACGATCTTTTTTTCTTTTCCTACGTTCAATGTCGATTCTTTTCGATTCGATTCGATTCGATTCGCGACGCGAGCACGCTTCTCGATAATCTCGTCGAGCTGAAAGAGAAAGTTCTTTGTGCTCCGGTCTCGGGTTGAAGCGGTTAGGGGAAACGATCTCGCAATAATACAGTACAAGCTTCTCGCGCTGGCTGCGTAAGCTGATTCAGTTGTTTGACATTTGTTAATGTTACTTAGTGAGCTCAGCAAGCGTCCAAAGTCTAAGACCAGAAAATAGGGATCGCGTACGATGTCGGCGCTAGTTGTCTGGCGAGTCTAGCAGAAGCGAGACAAGAAATTGTTCGCGGCCGAACGAAGGAACAGCGGGAGAAGAAGATGTTCGTTCGGGTTTCAGGGGTGTTCGATTTAGAGTGTACTGGTCTGAAAAGTCGCGGGCAAGACGCGAGGCCTCTCACCCTAAAAAGCAAACCACGGCGGGTTCGGTTAGAAAAGCGAGACAGGAACCAAGGTTGCCAATATGCATTTTCTAGAGGAGCCATGTATCATCTATACGTATCGTTATATCTATATATATACGGGCGCGTCGTCGCGTATATACATACATATAAACTCATGACAGTGAACAACAGCGTAATAGGTATATATTCGTATACACATCTGGAGAGCAACAGATAGTGATGAATATAGATAGACAAACAGACAGATAGACAGATAAATAGACAGACAAATAGACGAATAGATAGATAGATAGATAGATTGATAGATGGTAGAGGAAATATAAAGATAAAGATAAAGATAAAAACATACATACAGATACAAAACGCATCTAGGTTCAACTAATTATAAAATAGTAACAAAACTGGAAATAAACGCGAAGGCTCGTCGCCATAGACTCGCTACATCTCATGCAGAGTTTCCTTTCCCCATTTGCGAAATTATACCGCGATCATTTTAGCAACGTTCACGCTCGGCCCAGCAATGTTCCCTAAGCGTACGCAAACGGAAAGAAAGATTATCGCACGCGTTTATATACACGCAGCAGAGCTCGGCCATAGATACTCCTCTTTATTCTTCTCCTCTCCTCTTCTCTCCTGTCCCCTCTTCACCTCGCGAACGGCTCTTCTTCTGTCCTCGGGACGTGGACCACGTCGGAAAGACGCATTTCAACGCGGCGGTGCCAGAGAATTGATTGCGGTGCGATAATTGTCAAGCATCATACGTCCAAAGGGAAACACAGATTCGCGCTAAAAGATGCGTTGCAGTCGGACACGTGCGCCGCGGACCACTTACCTGACGCGGTCGTTCTGGTCTCGTTTAGTTTTGGTCCGATGTCCGAAGCGACGAAAGTCTAACGAGACAACCCACATTGTCCCTCCGACGAAGCATTAGCAGTTCATAGGCGAGTTTAGCAACGATTCAAGATGTAAAGATCGTTTTATACAGGTCGTTGAATACGTCTAGACGTCAGCTACAACATTATCAGCTGAAAATTATATAGCGACAGCTAGAAAATCAAGGTGGTTTTAATTCTTTGTTTGAAAAGAACATTTTTTCAACTTTTCATAGTGAAGTTTATAGAAGACTGAGTACTTAGTAATTTTTCTTTCAAACATTTTTTCATCGAAACAGTGAAAATGACTGGAAAATCGCGATGTGCTAGACATTTATTAGACAAATAAATGTTTCGATCAAAAAATTAATTAGTACTCAGTCTTCTGTAAACTTCGATATGAAAAGTTAAACGAATTTTCTTTTTAAATGAAAGTTTCAAATCATCTTGATTCTTTAATTGTCATTTTTGCTTAATAATGTTACGACGACCTATGTAAAGCGGTCTTTAAGTCTTGAAACATTGCTAAAATCGTCGTGGACAGTTAATGCTTCGATTAGAATCATCGTGCGCCCGTCGCAAATGATCTAACGAAAACAGGTTACAGATTCATCGAGATTTGTTGACCGAACGGAAGAGAGAAAGAGATCGATCCGGCGCGGACGATGACTGGAGTGGAGGAAGATGCAAAGTTTAACCGGAACGATCGACGCTCGAATTTGGGCGAGAGAGAGAGAGAGAGAGAGAGAGAGAGAGAGAGAGAGAGAAGAGGGAGAGCGAGTGAGAGAGAAAGAGAGAAGAAGAGGGAGAGTGAGTGAGAGAGTAAGAAATAAAGAAAGCGGAGAAGATGGACGAGGTACGAAAACGAAATTGGGAATCCTTTTTCGGCGGTGTTAGCCGGATTTATTGATCCAATGACGGCGGTGGCGGTGGCAGCGGCGGCGTCGTCGTCCGTAGATACGATGGTGGGGTTTTCCAGGAATGGAGCAAAGGGTCGAGGGATGCAGCGCCTCAGGTGCATCGATCCGCTAACAGGTAATAGGATGCTCCTTTTGCCCGAGACCGAGGTGGAAGTCGTGCTCGATCCCGNGATAGACAGATAAATAGACAGACAAATAGACGAATAGATAGATAGATAGATAGATTGATAGATGGTAGAGGAAATATAAAGATAAAGATAAAGATAAAAACATACATACAGATACAAAACGCATCTAGGTTCAACTAATTATAAAATAGTAACAAAACTGGAAATAAACGCGAAGGCTCGTCGCCATAGACTCGCTACATCTCATGCAGAGTTTCCTTTCCCCATTTGCGAAATTATACCGCGATCATTTTAGCAACGTTCACGCTCGGCCCAGCAATGTTCCCTAAGCGTACGCAAACGGAAAGAAAGATTATCGCACGCGTTTATATACACGCAGCAGAGCTCGGCCATAGATACTCCTCTTTATTCTTCTCCTCTCCTCTTCTCTCCTGTCCCCTCTTCACCTCGCGAACGGCTCTTCTTCTGTCCTCGGGACGTGGACCACGTCGGAAAGACGCATTTCAACGCGGCGGTGCCAGAGAATTGATTGCGGTGCGATAATTGTCAAGCATCATACGTCCAAAGGGAAACACAGATTCGCGCTAAAAGATGCGTTGCAGTCGGACACGTGCGCCGCGGACCACTTACCTGACGCGGTCGTTCTGGTCTCGTTTAGTTTTGGTCCGATGTCCGAAGCGACGAAAGTCTAACGAGACAACCCACATTGTCCCTCCGACGAAGCATTAGCAGTTCATAGGCGAGTTTAGCAACGATTCAAGATGTAAAGATCGTTTTATACAGGTCGTTGAATACGTCTAGACGTCAGCTACAACATTATCAGCTGAAAATTATATAGCGACAGCTAGAAAATCAAGGTGGTTTTAATTCTTTGTTTGAAAAGAACATTTTTTCAACTTTTCATAGTGAAGTTTATAGAAGACTGAGTACTTAGTAATTTTTCTTTCAAACATTTTTTCATCGAAACAGTGAAAATGACTGGAAAATCGCGATGTGCTAGACATTTATTAGACAAATAAATGTTTCGATCAAAAAATTAATTAGTACTCAGTCTTCTGTAAACTTCGATATGAAAAGTTAAACGAATTTTCTTTTTAAATGAAAGTTTCAAATCATCTTGATTCTTTAATTGTCATTTTTGCTTAATAATGTTACGACGACCTATGTAAAGCGGTCTTTAAGTCTTGAAACATTGCTAAAATCGTCGTGGACAGTTAATGCTTCGATTAGAATCATCGTGCGCCCGTCGCAAATGATCTAACGAAAACAGGTTACAGATTCATCGAGATTTGTTGACCGAACGGAAGAGAGAAAGAGATCGATCCGGCGCGGACGATGACTGGAGTGGAGGAAGATGCAAAGTTTAACCGGAACGATCGACGCTCGAATTTGGGCGAGAGAGAGAGAGAGAGAGAGAGAGAGAGAGAGAGAGAGAGAAGAGGGAGAGCGAGTGAGAGAGAAAGAGAGAAGAAGAGGGAGAGTGAGTGAGAGAGTAAGAAATAAAGAAAGCGGAGAAGATGGACGAGGTACGAAAACGAAATTGGGAATCCTTTTTCGGCGGTGTTAGCCGGATTTATTGATCCAATGACGGCGGTGGCGGTGGCAGCGGCGGCGTCGTCGTCCGTAGATACGATGGTGGGGTTTTCCAGGAATGGAGCAAAGGGTCGAGGGATGCAGCGCCTCAGGTGCATCGATCCGCTAACAGGTAATAGGATGCTCCTTTTGCCCGAGACCGAGGTGGAAGTCGTGCTCGATCCCGTCCTCGAATTTCCGTTGTTCGGTTTCCGATCCGGACACGCGCGGTTACCCGCGATTAACGGCGTTCTGTCGTGTCTGGTCGAGTCTAGTCGAGTCGGGTCGCGTTCCCGAAAGGTCCGCGGCGCGTTCCAGTGGTCCAGTCAGCGATTGCTCGGACAAGTGTGCGACAGCGAGAGAGTAATCCGCAGAGGTAGAGCTTGCGTAAAAGCGACACTAAAAAGTCTTTGCCGTGGGCCAAACGAGAATTGCCGTGAATCGGTGCATTGCGATAATACAGAAGCGTGTGTCACTTAGGGATGCAGTAAAGAAAACGAAAGTCGTATAAATGTAAAATCGACAACGAACAGAAAATGGCAATATAAGTATCATCGTCGACGTTTCTCGTCTTTCCCGCTTGCGTTCGCTCTTCCACGGGAACGCCTAACGGCCACGTCCGCCGCGACTATGTTTCGCCGTTTAGCACCTACTATGCCCCGATAGAATCGTCACGGTGCAGTCCCGAGACGCTCCATTTCGGATACCTTTTCGGATCGCGTTCCTTTTTCGACGGAAGAAGATGGAGAAGAGGAGGCGTCGGAACTGCACCGTTTCAGTTCAGAAAACGGTTTTCCGATCGCGGGTCGAAGTCGGGGCATCGCGTCGTGCCGCCGCCCTCTTTGCTCATTTATTTCCAGAATGGACGGCTCCCGGTTCATGGGTGGCCGCGGAACGCGCGCGAACGAGTCGGATCTCGCCGGGACACTCACCTCGCCAGCTTACTTTGATCGGACACGTGATTGTCTGGTTTTTAATGAGATACGCGTTCAGCGACGTCAGGCTCGGGCTTTTCCGCAAAGTACCCTCGTCGTTCTTCCACACGTACGTGATCGCCGTTTGCTCGTACGATACTGTCGGGAATCGATCGGTTAATTCGGCTGTTGTCCGGCCCTCCGGCCCTCCGGTCCATCGCCTCCGCGATGGACAACAATGGGCAGGCTAACGAGGGAGAGGAGTATCTCGGGCGCGGGCCGATTTACTTACTGCTCTCGATCGCGAATGAACACAGTGGGTCGTCGAAGGGGAAGATGTTCAGTCTACCCTGGCAGGATAGGATGAGGTGACGCCTGAAACACCCGAGACGTCCAAAGTGGATTTCGATGAATCGAGGCGCGTGCTGCTGCGCGCCTCCGGCGTCTCTCTCTCCCTCTGTTCGAGAGAGCACCGCGCCATAATCGTTCGATCGTTCGATCGTTAAGTAGAGTACCTCATAAGATAGTTGACCGTGCCGTTGCGGTATATCCGTAGGGCGAAGTGAACGGGTATGAGCGGATCCTTGAAGTCTCCGTGCATTATGAAGTACGTGTCCGGCAACCAGATGTCGTCGTAATGGTGGATCGCGTTCAAGAACTCGTACTGCGATCGGTTGCTGTAGCGCAGCCGCGGGTCGTACCACTGTTGTTGCAGCAGAAACTCCACCTCGTATTTCTGCGGAAAAGGAAACGTCGAGCGGGTGAGCGTCGTCCACGATCGCGCGAGCACGCGGGGCGATCGGTGACGTTAGGAGGAATCGAATCGTAATGAACGATTTGAATTACCAAGCTGGACTCGTCCGGGGACGCCAGACTTAGCAACAGCACGCTCACGTTCACGGTCAAGGTTCCTGCAACAGAATCGTGCGATCGTAAACAGCGCAGCCTCGGATCGGTATCGTAATCGTTGTTCGACGAGCAGGCTCGCGGGGCGGTTCACGCTAATTCGACGGAGCTCCTTTGACGCGTTGCCAAAATAGGATAAGAGGACACAGAGGATACGACGACGCTTGTACGCATCGAAATCGGTGCGGAGAAGGCTGCGTAGGCGCTCTCCGAGAGGAGCATCGGTCTTTGTCGATCAGCGTGACCGCCGCGTTCCGACGGTTTCCGAGACCGTGGGATATCGGCCCGACGGAACGGCGATCGAACCGTGTACTTCTCTCATCTACGTTTGCGTAAGGCGAAAGCCGATGCCGTTACCGCTAAAGCGTCGTTAGCGCCATGCTGTGCACATGCTGCGACGACAACAGTCGTGTTCTGTAAATCGAGTATCAAGCTCGCGGCCCGGTGCTCGAGACTCGAGAGCCGGTTGCCGATCGCCGGTTTCTCAGGCTCGGTAATCCTGGAGAAACGGAACGGGATACGGACACGGACACGGATACGGATACGGATTTCGGAAACGGAAACGGAAACGGAAATGGATACGGACGTGGGAACGCAAGGAAAAGGAACTCGAGCGGGAGCATCGAGGGTGTCCCCTTGATCAGAGTTTTAGCGCTGGGTCGCACGATATTCGCGTGCAACCGGACTAACGAGTCCCAATCACCGTGCTCGATCGCCAACGCATTCAACTACACATAGAAACACGAGTAAATCGAGACACAGTGTTCTAAATACGCTGGAGTGTACGGAAATGGGCTCGGAACATATTGGACTATGGAATGGAAGGAGGCACGTCCCCAGGGATCGTGTGGACGCTCGTCACCGCGATAGGGATCGCGAAATTCGCGCCTCGAGAGCGACGGAACTGGACTGAACCCGGCAGGACAGGACGGAACCGGACGGAGCCGCGGTCCGAAATCGCGGTCGCTTCCTGCGAAAACGAAGGAGCGGCAGAGAGAGAAGAAAACGAGTAAAGAAAAAAGCGTTGGACACGCGTTATCGAGCAGCGAACGCCTCCGGGCCCTGGCCGGCCGCCAGCCCGCGATAACAGCCTAAGCACCCGGTGTATCGTTATGGTACAAGGCCGTTAATCGGGCCGACACATCGGGCACAAGTCCGCGTTCGCTTCGGAAAGAATGTCACGTGTCGATGGATCGCGGCTTTAACTTTTAACGTTCTCCTCGCACGGAAACTGCCTTCCGTTTGCACTCGCGGACGCGATACGAAAATCGGGCAACGGCGCGCGAGAGATCGTCCCGAGTCGATCGAGGGTTCTCGGCTCGACTCGCACGACAACCTCCGGAGGAACATTGAAAACGAACGGACCGAGGGAAAACCTCTTTGTTCGCGTTCCACCGGGTCTCTCGTTAAAAACGGATGTCGGCGGAGAGTGCAGCTTCCGATTTGAGAATCGATCGACCTACAAACCCTCGTAATGAAATGCAAAATTCGGCTCTGGCAACCCATTCGAGATTCGATTCGAATCGCGAAGCCCGACACGACGCCCGTCTTCCGTCTTTAGTCTACCGTCACCCGTATTCCGTCCCTGCATCCGAATTCGTCGTCGTTTCTATTTTGGTTCGGAAGAAGGAATCCATTGTGCGAGTGATGCGCTCTTCTCTCCGGGTACGTTCGACAAAACCGGGGTTCGTCGAGCGGCGCGCGACGAGTCAGTGGAGTAGGTAAACGTTCGAAGAGACGGGTCAGCGAGCGAGAGAACGAAAACATCGAATGAACGAACGAACGAACGAACGAACGAACGCACGGAACCGAAACGACGGTTGAACGATTGAATGGGACGGGTCGGTTCGGGTCGGGGTCGGGTCGGGTCGGTTCGGAACGGGTTTGGTCTGTGGATCGCATGAGAATCGTGACAGCCTTAATTAATTTTTCTAGACGAGGTTACGAGAGATGTAAAAGCAGAAGAACGGACCGCGAAGGTGGGTGCGAAGGTGTTGGTGCGGCGTGTAGTGGTTATTGTTCTGGTTCTTGTACTGGTTCTTGGGGTCGTTAGAGGAGGTTGACGACCGGTTCGACAGGCTGGTGGCGTCACCAGGCCATCGCATTCCGCAGCAGAAATCCGCATCTGTAACACCCAACAACCCTTGCCCACGTCTCATCCTTTTTTTTTGTCATTTTGGATTTTTTGGTTTTTTGTTTTCTGTTTTCTGGTTTCTGTTCTCTGTGGTTTTCGTTTTTGTATTTCTACCGAATTTCAACAACTGCTCGATCCTACTACCGCGTGATCTACGTGGTCTGCTCTTCTCGTTCTATCGACAACAATAACGACAACTCCGTTCTCTTGTCTCCGTTCTCGTCCGTGGTTCTCCATTCGAGAGAAACAGAGTGCAAATAAACGGCGAACAACGGTAACATCTACGATAAAACAGCAACGACAACTACGGCGTAGGTACTCTTTTTTTTTGTCACGTACGGACGTATGTATTCCGTTCAACGACACTCGTTACTCGCGAGATCGTCGGATCGGTGTACTTATCGTTTTTTGTTCTCCGTGTCGGGACTTTTCGGGCCTCCTTTGCGATCTCGTCGGGCGGCGTTTCGAAAATCGGCCGTAAGTACTCGTAAATATTCGTCCAGAATCGAACACAGCGAAAGAGTATGGCGAGAGGAAAGTGAGGATTGTAAAATTATCGTTAGAGTCTCGTTGTCAGTGTGTAGATTTTCTGTGATAGCCAACAACTCTTGCCCACGTCTCATCCTTTCTTCTCGTTTCGCTTCGCTTCATTTCGCTTCGTTTCGCTTCATTTTCGCTTCGTTTCGCTTATCCTCGCGCGTCTCTTCGCGTCCCCGCGGACCGGATCGCTACACGCGCGAATCTACTCGAGCGAGAACAGAAGAGAAATAAAAAAAGAGAAGGAGAAACAAAAGGATAAAGAGAACGAAAGAGGAAAGAGAAAAGCAAAGAAACAAGCGGAGAACGTATGCGAGAAGCCTCGCAAGACAATCAGGGCTCGTCCGTTTCGAAAGGGAATCGGAAAGCAGCGCGCAGTACTACGCTACAACGATGCAACGAAGACGTCAAGCGTTCCGCTGAAATATCGCGTTGAAATCGAGTTTCCGCGCTCTCAGACCTCGCCGCGCGCTCGTCTCTTCGTCTTCGGCCCGCGCCGATCTCGTCCAATTACCTTGGCGCGTTGGTTCCTTCGTTAATTCCGTCTCCGGTATTTCCGCGGGAAATCTTTCGGCTCGGTGGCGCGTGATCGTCCTCGCGGCATTTCTCTCTCGCGTGAAACGACCGAAAGCGAGTGCTATTTCAAGCGGAACAAGCAATCAAGGTCTCTTTAGTCGGTCGAATTGCAGGCTATTCCGCGAGGCGTGGCGATACGATGCGAGGCGAGGCGAGGCGGGGCGAGGCGAGGCGAGGCGAGGCGAGAAAGAGCAGAGAAGCGATATGACGCGCGGTTGTTTTCTCCTGTGCTCGAGGCTCGTCAACGCCGTCCTCCTATTGTCCCGCACCTGTCCCCGCACTCTCGCGCTCGCAAAAGCTCGCAAAAGCTGGCTTTCTTCGCGTTCGGTAGCGGCGGAACAAACGACGCTGGCGTTCGCTCGAGGGCTCCGCTCCTCTCCGCTCCTCTCCGCGCCGCGCGTCGTCGCAAACTTTTCTACCCTCCCTCCCCTCCCTCCCTGTTTCCACCTTTTCACGTCGCCGTCATACCCACCGATACAAAGGGAGACCGTGCGCTTTTGTGCTCGGTGTGTTTCTTTCAACCGGGTAAAAAAAGAAAACGTTGTCGCTTCGATAGGCAGTTTGCGAGAACGGGACTCTCTTCACGAGTGTCCGACACGGATACCACCGATTGCTAATTCGCGGTCGATGCCGTAACCGCGAAACGAGACCGAAAACGTCTCGCGACGCGCACGTGTCCCACGTGTCAGCCTCGGACACGTGTCATAGGCGGATATTATTTTGGGCGCGTATTTCCGCTGCGCGACCGTTTGGCACCGGCCCTGGTTTTTACGGCACCTGTGCTACGAACGGCATATAGACTTCCGTTTGGCACCGGTCGCCAACTCGGCCGATATTCGGGTCGGCGCATATCAAACGCCGAATTTCCATAAGCGCGAGACCGATCCGGGTGGAATCGTATCGTCCGCGAGCGTTCGAAATTTCATGGGACGCGGAACAATTTCGGCGGCCCTCCTGTAACGTCGACACGTTTTCAACATCGTTTCAAAACGCGGTAGAATCTCGATTAAGATGAAAGTACCTATTATGGAACGCTTTTCAGGGGGGATATACGATTATCATCGATTTTATCACACCTGAAAAGTGTTGTTGCTCAATATTTATATACTGATGTTTCTAGATAACGTAATGAACTGCGAAATATTTATTTAACATTTATTTAACAATGCTGGCAAAAAGAATTCGAACGCTTCTTGAAACGCGATAACTTCTTCCAAACTGGACTAATTCACATGAATTTTTTCTTTATGTTACAGAGACTATATTACATTTACTATTACGTTTACTGTAGAATGACTAAAATTTCTTCTCTTAATCTTGCCATTGCCTGGAATGACAAAAAAAGAATAAAAATAATTCTCAATTGAGCGGTGTTTCATAAATAGGTACTTTTTTACCTTACTCAGACGGCGAATGTCTCGGATGCGGGAATTTGCGGTGCCGAACGGCGGACGGTGTCAATTACCGGTAATCATAAGATTATTCGCGTAAATTCGGCGAAGAGCGTCGAGAACAGGACTAAGAGAGCAACGTCAACGTTCGAGCATTTTTCTCCCGACGAAGTTCGCGCGCGTGACGGCCGCACGTCCGGCTTTGTTCCCTCGCGATCGTCCGAGGAACGAACGAGCGAGGAATAGGGGGATCGAGGTCCAAACAGTAGAAAGCTAACCGGCGGCGGAGCGCGCGCGCGCCCGCGTTTTATCGCCTTTTATCGCGCTTTCCGCGTCACGATTCCGTCCAAGCGTTTCGCGTCTCGAGTGGAAAAAGAAAATTCTGTCCTCGACCCGTTTCCGACCATCTATAAATATTACCGTTGCAAGAGAACGAATCGAGCGGAGGAGCAAAGGACGCGGAACGCGACGCTAATCGCGAATTTTCCCATCGAACGAGCTACCCTCGCGCGTGCACGTTAGCCGAGCCGCACGAGAACGAGCGGCTGTCCGTTTCCTTTTCGTCGGGAACGACGACGACGACGAAACGATGACGAATCGACCGCGATAGAGGCGAACGCGAAACGGGAAGTACATCCGCGAACTGTACCGAGCTGTACCGATTTCCGGCGCTGGTTTTGCGAACCGCCGAACGGACCGGGGTTCATTAGATCGATGGCTAATTGCCAAAAGGGGGGAGCCGGGGGTATTTGCATTCGAATAAATCCAGGCCACGCGTGATCGATTCATCCCGGCAATTTCTATGGAGCGTGACGCGAGCACGTTCTGGCGACGTCGACGTCGACGACGTCGCGAGCCACTAGACGTCCGAGGGTCGTTTTCTTCCGGCCGTTCCTTTCTCTCCTCGTTCCACCGAGCAAAAACGCTCGCGGATTCGTCTGGCCTTTGCGAATAATTGGTAAGCTCGTTAGTCCCGCGTCGAAAATTAATCGCGAGCGTAACGAGAAAATTTTGCAGTTCCGATTCGAGAGAGAATCGATCGGCGAGCGGCGAACGACGAGCGGATGTATTACCGGTGTGGCACGGCAACGCGACCGGGCGTTGGCGCGGATTCAACCTTCTAGGCTGCGCGATGAATTTTTGAGATCGCGTACCGTCTGCTCGCGTCCCGATGCAAATGCCGGGAAGAAAAGCTCCCCCCCCCCTCCGAGCGACTCGAGAATCTCGAGAAGAAATCCGCCGTGTCTGGAAATTTATTACCGGCGCGTGGAATTGAATTCCCGAACGACAAGCGAGCATCATCGCTCTTCAGCGGCAAGACGGATGCCGGCAACGAGGACTCCGGTGCCAGTGACGCGAACCAGCATTGGTCAGCCGCTCGCATTCGCTTCTGCTTCTCGACTCCCGACCGATTCGTCGATCGACTCGAATAAACGCGCCGCGATTGCTCCATCGATTCAAGATACCGTCGGCCAAACGATTTCGCTTCTTCGAATAGGATCGAGGAATCACGGGAAACCACTCCGGCAGTTTGCTAGATTCTTTATCTGGAAGAACCTGCCTTCCTCTAAGTTTCGATTAGACGTCGCACAACGACAAAAAACGTTGTCGTCTAACCATCGACCAACACGGCAACAGACTCACGAAACAAATCTTATGGTCGCGTCCAAATTGGCGATGTCGTATAGCGATGAATCCGACCGACTGATCAACAGGACAAAAAAGAAACAGGGGATGATTTATGGTTATCGCGCATCATCAATTCGAACGCGACCATCAGACGCGTTTTGTTTGTTTCTTGTCGTGTTGGTCGGTCCAGTCGTTTCGACGGCAACGATTTCGTCGTTGTGCAACGTCTAACTAGGTCATAAGCGTTAGACGCGAAATTGTCGGAAAGACGATTAACTCTTTGATTATATCGGTGTCGATCAGAGTTGGACGAAAAGTAATCAGATCGATGATTAAAGATTATAACCCGTTAGTTATCATAACCAATTTATACCAATTTATAACAACTAACGAGTTATGCTCGTCAAGCATTATTCAGGTTACTTTAGAATAAATTAGTTATAATAACTGACAGGTTACAATCAGTATTCATTAACAGCGTTAAGCGCGGAGCCGATTCTGCTGTATCTTCCGTCGAGGCGGCAGGCCGGCATTATTTTTAAACAATAGCTTCGCGCTGTCAGTTCCTGGGAACTGACGTCGCCGCAAAAAAGAGTACACTGTCAGTCCGAGAGGACCGTCGCAGCGCTCAACGTGTTAATCGGATTACTTTTTTCCGAACTCTGGCGTCGACTATGGGCGCATCCGCGTGAAGACGAAAGCGTTTGGTCCGCTGGAGCGTTTTGCGAGGATGAACGAGTTAAGCAAAGGGTCAAGACGCGAACGCACGAATCGCACGATCCCCCATCCCACTGGTCCGTTCGCTCTCGTTTTCGTTTACGTTTTCGTTCTCGTGCTGATTTAGCGTGATCGGGGTCGACTTTCTATATAGAGAGAGAGATACCCTTTTGACGAGGGGTGAGCAGTGAGCTGTGGTTGTGTGGTGCTGTGTGGTGGTAGCGGTGCCGGTGATGTTCGAGGTGCTCTGGATGGTCGGGGTGATTGGGTACGAGGTAGTCGGGGGTGTAGTCGTCTTGGCGAGTGTGGGGCGGGGGCCTCAGTGTACCTTGGACCGGGGGCAGAAGCCGCTTGTCGTAACGGGTCGACAGCAGCAAGTTGTCCAGGATCTCCTTGTCCGACTTGCCCTCCTCGAAGCTGCAACACAACCCACTGTAGCTAGCCCCCGAGGCATCGGATCCCTCCGCACTCTCTCATTCTCTCTCTCTCTCACTCTCTCTTTCTTTCTCTCTCTCTGTCTTTCTCTGCTCCCTGTCCGTCTTCGCGTCGTTCCTCCCCACCTTTTCTTTTCTCCGTCTGTCTCTCCGTTCCCTGGGTTTTCCTCACCGGTTTCTCTCGGTTCTCGCGGATATCGCGAAGCCAGCGTCGCACCGGTGCACCCCAGGCCTCGTCTCTAGAATTTTGCGCGCGAGGCGACCCGCTGCGACGCGACGCGCGACGCCCGCGAGCCCCGCGATCGCGAGATCGCGAGGTCCACTTGGTCGCAGTAGATCCAAAGAGGAAGAACAAACTCAAACAAACTACGGATTACCCGGAACGTTCCGTATACACAGCTCTCTATACTTTACAGCGCGCTATACGTGTAATATCGAAACAGCTATTCTACCTTCGAGCGTCGCAACGCCGTGACAACGCTCTCTCACTCTATGTATACATAATACGTACGCCGTGTCTATGCGATACGTCTTCTTGCTACGTCACGGTCGCGTGGCTACACCACGACCGTTATTATGTATGTTCACTATATGTATACGTATAAATATCCAAACTCGTCTACTCTCGGGCTACACGTGAAACAGAGATGATGCAGCGTCGCGGGCGCGTCGCGTCGACCGTCCTTAGGGTTTCGTTATCCGTTTTGCGTTTTATCGTCCCTTCGGTCGACCGACGCGACGTTCCGATTCGTATCGGGACGAAGGTACGCGAGTATCGTCCAACAAATGGTAAATCGAAGGAGAAACGGGGCGACATTAACGACGATTCTCTCTCCGTTCCATGCAGAGAAATTGGTACTCGTCGAAGATATCCTCGTCGTAATGTCGCCCCTCGATATCCTATCGCAAGCAAAAAACTCGTCTACGATAGCGTCGCGATCCCAGCTTCTCGATTCGACGGGGAAAAAGTAAGGTCAAAAGGAGAGAGTCTTCAAGAGAGAGAGAGAGAGAGAGAGAGAGAGAGAGAGAGAGAGACAGAGACAGAGGACNCATAAGCGTTAGACGCGAAATTGTCGGAAAGACGATTAACTCTTTGATTATATCGGTGTCGATCAGAGTTGGACGAAAAGTAATCAGATCGATGATTAAAGATTATAACCCGTTAGTTATCATAACCAATTTATACCAATTTATAACAACTAACGAGTTATGCTCGTCAAGCATTATTCAGGTTACTTTAGAATAAATTAGTTATAATAACTGACAGGTTACAATCAGTATTCATTAACAGCGTTAAGCGCGGAGCCGATTCTGCTGTATCTTCCGTCGAGGCGGCAGGCCGGCATTATTTTTAAACAATAGCTTCGCGCTGTCAGTTCCTGGGAACTGACGTCGCCGCAAAAAAGAGTACACTGTCAGTCCGAGAGGACCGTCGCAGCGCTCAACGTGTTAATCGGATTACTTTTTTCCGAACTCTGGCGTCGACTATGGGCGCATCCGCGTGAAGACGAAAGCGTTTGGTCCGCTGGAGCGTTTTGCGAGGATGAACGAGTTAAGCAAAGGGTCAAGACGCGAACGCACGAATCGCACGATCCCCCATCCCACTGGTCCGTTCGCTCTCGTTTTCGTTTACGTTTTCGTTCTCGTGCTGATTTAGCGTGATCGGGGTCGACTTTCTATATAGAGAGAGAGATACCCTTTTGACGAGGGGTGAGCAGTGAGCTGTGGTTGTGTGGTGCTGTGTGGTGGTAGCGGTGCCGGTGATGTTCGAGGTGCTCTGGATGGTCGGGGTGATTGGGTACGAGGTAGTCGGGGGTGTAGTCGTCTTGGCGAGTGTGGGGCGGGGGCCTCAGTGTACCTTGGACCGGGGGCAGAAGCCGCTTGTCGTAACGGGTCGACAGCAGCAAGTTGTCCAGGATCTCCTTGTCCGACTTGCCCTCCTCGAAGCTGCAACACAACCCACTGTAGCTAGCCCCCGAGGCATCGGATCCCTCCGCACTCTCTCATTCTCTCTCTCTCTCACTCTCTCTTTCTTTCTCTCTCTCTGTCTTTCTCTGCTCCCTGTCCGTCTTCGCGTCGTTCCTCCCCACCTTTTCTTTTCTCCGTCTGTCTCTCCGTTCCCTGGGTTTTCCTCACCGGTTTCTCTCGGTTCTCGCGGATATCGCGAAGCCAGCGTCGCACCGGTGCACCCCAGGCCTCGTCTCTAGAATTTTGCGCGCGAGGCGACCCGCTGCGACGCGACGCGCGACGCCCGCGAGCCCCGCGATCGCGAGATCGCGAGGTCCACTTGGTCGCAGTAGATCCAAAGAGGAAGAACAAACTCAAACAAACTACGGATTACCCGGAACGTTCCGTATACACAGCTCTCTATACTTTACAGCGCGCTATACGTGTAATATCGAAACAGCTATTCTACCTTCGAGCGTCGCAACGCCGTGACAACGCTCTCTCACTCTATGTATACATAATACGTACGCCGTGTCTATGCGATACGTCTTCTTGCTACGTCACGGTCGCGTGGCTACACCACGACCGTTATTATGTATGTTCACTATATGTATACGTATAAATATCCAAACTCGTCTACTCTCGGGCTACACGTGAAACAGAGATGATGCAGCGTCGCGGGCGCGTCGCGTCGACCGTCCTTAGGGTTTCGTTATCCGTTTTGCGTTTTATCGTCCCTTCGGTCGACCGACGCGACGTTCCGATTCGTATCGGGACGAAGGTACGCGAGTATCGTCCAACAAATGGTAAATCGAAGGAGAAACGGGGCGACATTAACGACGATTCTCTCTCCGTTCCATGCAGAGAAATTGGTACTCGTCGAAGATATCCTCGTCGTAATGTCGCCCCTCGATATCCTATCGCAAGCAAAAAACTCGTCTACGATAGCGTCGCGATCCCAGCTTCTCGATTCGACGGGGAAAAAGTAAGGTCAAAAGGAGAGAGTCTTCAAGAGAGAGAGAGAGAGAGAGAGAGAGAGAGAGAGAGAGAGACAGAGACAGAGGACCGAGAGAGGTCGTGCGAGCTCGAATCGAGAAGGTGAGAAGAAGACGGGTCGTTCGTTAAAAAACTGAGTAACGATCGTGTTCGATAATGTAATACGTACATGTCCTCGGCACGCACGAGGGTGACAAGAGTGAGGGCAAGTGTGAGGATACAGAGGATGGTGAAGATGAGGGAGCTTGCGAGGGAGGTGAGAGACAGCGAGAGGACGGACGAGAGGCGGCCGCCACCACCCGCACACCGCCCAAGCGCCACCCAACCCATTCTATGTCATCTGAAACAGAAAGCACGTTTTCCGTTATTAGCATTCCACTCTGCTCTGCTCGGCTCCGTCGGAGCGGGGAACAGTCGGCGAAATCAGCCAGCAATACTAACAATCTGCTCGCGATTCCATCATCTCGTTAAACGCGTCTCACCGATTAGCGTAATCTCATCGGCGACCGGACGAAGGACGGAGTCGCCCGCCGATCGTCCGCGTCCCAGCGAATTAAACTAAATCCGTTTAATCGAGTATTGGCCGAGCAAATTGAATTCCCGGCCGCGCCGTGCCTGCGTGAGAATTTGCTACCTTCTCGAGTCTCGGTGCTTTAAGGCGGTCTCCTAGTCTAGAACCTTCGAAAAATCGATTTCTTTTTTTATTTCATTGTCTGCGAGTACATGCTACCGAAAATATTTCCATCATAGGGTATTGTTGGGATTCGAAAAATTGATGAAGTTATACGCAGCCGAACAGCAGGATATGCAATAGAATAAGCAATCGATAATAACATAATGCAGAGGGCATCAAAACACATGCTGTTGCACGCAGATCGATACAAGAAGCGGAAACCCGGCGCATTTTTTCTAATAAGAAGCTGGTCCCTTCTATGATCATGGGCTGGCAGATTAGCTATAAGTGGGATTTTTATCTAAATGATACAAAGAAAGTTTAAACGCGTTTTTTCTCGAAACCGCAATTTTTAGTTGACCGATTGGGATAAGAATTGAAGGTCTTCAGCACATGTGCCACTATCGTGCGAACCAGTGTAACTATTTTTCTTCTGCGAGCTGAAACCGAAAAAGAAATTAAGAAATCGATATCTTAAGTTTAGAATGCAGCCAAAATTTTTCTGTTTAACATCTGTCCACGAGTTTGGTACGCGCGATAGCCCACGTTCGTACTTAACAAAATAAGTTGCTCATACGTCCATCTCAGATAAGCAGAACGACCAAAATTATGACAAACGTGCAGGCATGTTCAACAGAAGGAGTAGCTCTACTGAAACAGCTGTATCTTCGCTAATTTTTAATATTTTTTAATGAAAAAGTATTGCACATGTTCTACACATTACAGGCCAAGAAGGTGTCACGAGACTCGATACAATAAGCTGGTACGATTTTCTTTTCTTAATCGCAAAGAGCCCCGTCAAGATGAACGTCTAGACCAGAAAACCCTCTCCAAACTCGAACGATGGAAGAACGACCCACCTAGGAATCCTCGTCTCTATTACCTATATTCGTATTTAGGGCAGGCGCTCGGGGAGCCGACTAAATGCCGACGCGTCGCTAATTCCTCGGATTTCGGTTTCCGAGCATTTCGAATCCCGGTGGAGGCACTTTTCCCGAGGACGTCGAAGAATTCCAGCCGGCAACCTAATATCCCGACTTAATCTCTCCGGAGATCACCGAGCCTCGAAATCCTTGATCCCTCGCGTCTCGCGCCTCTCACACTTAGCATCTGGCGTCTCGCGATACAACGTCGACGGCCGATCGCGTTGTATTCCCCAGCCGAAATTCCTCTTCTCGTCCGACGTCGTCGAAAACGGACAACGAGCTTCGCGTCGATGCGTTTGCAACGATTCCGGAGGCAAAAACCGTCGAAGACCGCTTCCCTCGATGCTCTCCGCGGAACCGACTCGGGCGAGAACGGTGTAAAGCGTCTTTTTGGTCGGTTCGCCGTTCTTAATTGCCTTGAATCCCAACAGCTTAACGCGCGATCCGTAACCTCGATTTCCGAACGGGAAACCAACCTTTTCCTGCGTGAAATTAGCATTCGGTGTTTCCGAGCTCCGCTGCTTCTATTATTATTCTTCTTATTTGTTCATTAAATGGGTTAATTGCCCTTTAGATTACAGAGTATAAAAGAAATTAATAATTTAATTGGAGAGAGCACGGTGGAGATTGCGCTGAAAAATCGGAGAATCACAGGCAAAATTAATATTGCTGCTGTAAAAGTTTACAATACAGTTTTAAGTAATTTCGCTCCGGATCCCGAAAAATCGCTGTTTCAATCGAGACAACAATGTATCAAATGGAGTTTAATATTTGTTCGCAAATGGAGCGTTAATATGCTGGCTGATTGCTGCAGATCACTGGAACGAAGTATTCCAGAAGTTAAATGTTTCAGAAAATCAACAACATTTTTGATAATGTTCTGTATTTCGTGAATATCAGGTTGTGCGGAAAGTTCGTTTCACGAGTCTTTTATGCGAATTCAATGAAACGGACTCTATGAAATGTGACACAAACTTTCCGAACAACCTTAATAAATTGTTTGCAAGCAAACTATATATTGGTTTGTCAAAAAGTTCGTGTCACGTTCCATACAGCTCGTTTCATTGAATTTGTATAAAAGACTTGAAACGAACTTTCCGAACAAACTAATCTAGAGGGTGTCCCGCATTTTCTATATATACCTCCGGGAGTGTATTCTACAAGCAAGAATAAGAGTAAAATCTTATATAACAAAGAGTCCATAAATAAATGCTTTGTTTGAAGTTATGACAAAAATAAGAAATGCGAAAGATATGATAACGCTAACGTGCAAGAGACGAATTAATTATAAAAATCAATATCACCTGCTAAGAGATAAGTCAAAATCACAACTCATTGTGAAATCAACAATAAATTCAATAACTCGTCGATGTCAAATTTATGTCAATAAAGGCGGGCGTGACTTTGGAATGGAGATACAGGCATATTTAACAGCGTTTAAATTATGTTTTGTATTTTTATTATAAATTCTTAAGAAAGCATTTATAGACATTTTGTTATATAACATTTTGGTCTTATTTTTACTCGTAGAATACACTGCCGAAGTATGTACGGAAAATTTCGGAACACCTTGTACAAGATTACAGTAATCATTGAATATTGAACTGCGCATTACTCAAAAATCTTACGCGATAGAAAAGAAGAAACGGATTGCATATTTGAATTCAGCGTTAAAAAAGTGCGATTAAGATCACATATTGAACATTGCGCAAAAAAGATGAGTGAAATTTTATGGACAGTGGCATCGGCGATGATCGATTCTCGTCGTTTCTGGCGCGGGACGAAACAACGAGGTGCGAGGTTAGCGAGGCTTAAAAGTTTGTCGACCTGCTCTCCGGAGGATCGAGTACCGTTCGCAAGGTCCGGATACGATTTTCCCAGGAGTCCCGCGCTGTTCCAACTCGGAACGATAACGACGCAAACTAATTTCTGTTTGGCACGGACAATTCGCGAACCCTTTCCACTGGAACGTTTAGGCGCTCTGGGCGATTCCGCACAGGAGTTGCTCGGAGCAAGAGGCTGAAATTAAACGATGGCTCGGTGCAGCTGTGGCTGCAGCCAAGTAGTTCGCCCGAACGCGAGCAGCGAGAGTTCGCGAACGATCCAAATTAATCCGTGGTTGGACGAGCGAGCGGCCCTTGGGACACCTGGAAAACGAATCGGCGGAGATAAAAAACCGTTTCGAAGATAGGCTATCGTTCTGGGAAGACGCCCTAGCCGTGGGCTGCGTGTCATCGCGCCTCGGATCGGTCAAAAGCGGCTCCTTTGCAATCTCCCTTAAGCGCTATCGGCCTTTTCAAGCCGAGCTCGAGGCGCTTTCACAAGTGGCACGCGTGTTTTCTCCTCGAAAAGGCTGGATCGCGTCGCGTAGCGTCGCGGCGACCCATCGGAAATCAACCAGTTGCGCTTCTCGAGTCGTATCGAATCGATACCGACGTTTCCACGAAGCAGTCTTTCATTCGCGAGCATAAACCGCTATCTCGCGTGGGATCGTCAAAGTGTCAGTGCGTGGCCGGTCGATCCCGAGTTGCCAAGAGTCGCCCCGTTACACGCTGACCCATTGAAACCGTGCCAGGTTATTCGATCGAGTTCGACAGATTCGACGGCGCTCTCGTTTCATTTTGGCGGGATAGCGCGATTTCCAATTTCGCGGTGCGACGAACCGTGCCGCGTCGAATCTACGGATCCCGAGATATCCGCGCGAAGAGTCTTTTCGCGTGATCTCGATGGTTCCTCGGAGCCGAATTTCTCCGGGCCGCTTTCAATTTTCTCCGTAATCGCGTTGAATCGAGTTAATCCCGGAACGATGGTCGCGGCTCTCAGAGAGTGTAATCTCCGTCGAAAAAGCTCGGCAAAACAATCGGGTTACGCGCGGGTTACACCGCGTTACACCGGGTTACACCGGCTCGATGGCGCGATATGGCGTGAGCCGTGGCGTGGTGATCCATTTAAGAACGGGGCGGTTGCCACGCCACCGGCGACAACGATACTCTTTCGCCTAACTATAGGCCGACGCTTATTAATCGGTTTTCCAGCTACGTGTACGGTCTATAGGTCGGCCCGCTTCTCGATATCGAGCGGTTTATTTCTCGCGGGAAGTGCTCGATATATCTAGTCCGACGCGGCGGAACTGGTCGTCAAAGGGGACCGCCGGCCGTCCCGCTCCGCGAATCGTCGTCGATTCTCGCGGAACCTTGAAACCTCGACGGATCGAGAATGGAGATCTCGCGCGCTCCTCGAGTATATCGTCCACGGATCTCTCTTCGTTTTCTCTCGAATCTCGAGACCTCGGGCTCCTCGAGATGACGAGCGCGAGAACACGATTGGTCGCGGGCTGGTCGCGGGCCGAGCTGGCCGGATGGTCCTCGGTTCGCCTGCTCGGGCAGGGTACGCGCGGGCGGGTAGCTACGAGTAAACGAGTACGCTACCGCCAACCGTACAGCTGATGCTCGTTCGATCAATACGGGGCGTTGCGGCACGGAACGCTATAGAGTATGTCACGTGGCTTAGCCTGTCCCATTCTGAGTCCGCGGCTCCTTTCCACGGTGCGCTCTCTGCCTCCCTCTCCTTCTCGCGTTCCTCTCCTCTCTCCTCTCCTCTGCTCTCCACTGGTATCCACTGATATCCTCTGGTATCCTCTGGTATCCGCTGGTATCCGCTGGTATCCTCTGGTCTCCTTTCCTCTCCTATTTCCTCCGACAGGATACTTTCCGGCGACCGATGCTCTCCTTTCACGGCCAAATTACCCTGCATCCAGGTTCATCTTCTGTCTCCGCACTCTTTTATCTCGTCCCGCGGCTTCTTAAACTCGCTTTATCATCCGGTGGTTTTGGTCGACTCGTCCTTGGAACGAGTCAATCGTAAAAAAGCTCGGTGTCCCGTGTGCCATAGGGCTTACGGTTTGAGCCGCCTGGACGAGCACCCTTTGTACGTTCGCGTGTGCGATGGACTCTGCACCGCTTTGAAACTCGGAACGCCCTGCAGCACGATTATATCGACGATCGACGAAAATTTCAACCGTGGCCCTTTCGGGAACGTCGGACGGGACGGTATCTAGCACGGCAGACACCGTGACGCCGCGCCGCGTATCTTCCCACACCCTTTACCCTTTCCTTCCCTTTTCCCAGAACGAGTCTCCTCGACGATCTGGCACCGACACGTAATATTTTCGGATCTCTACGAGGAGCGTCTTCTCGATCTTCGCAATTAAGGCTCGAGACCCTGCTGCGAGCAAACACCGACGCGACGTCCCTTCGGTTCGTCTTGCGCGCAAACAACGCTTTCTCTCGAACGGTTGATCCGGTTTTCTTCCCGCGCGCGACCAAATTGCGCCAATTCGTTTATCGATCCTTCCCCGGTCTCGCCTTTCCGTTGTTTCGCGTCTCGGGAGGATGGACCAGACACGGGTAACGCCGGTATTGGCGTCGACGTCGTCGTCGTCCGCGTCGTCGCCGGCGTCGGTTTCGTCGGCAGAACGTAACTCGCCGGGGAGAATTTATATCCGGAGGACTTTCGCCGATCCGGCTTCAACACGGAATCCCCTATTTCGCCCGGCCCCAAGGAAGTCGATAACATCACGCAAAGGTGAAGGTGCTGAATTAACTAGCTAGGTTAAGGACGAGATTTTAGCCCCGTGAAACCGGGTCACCGCGTCGTCGGTTTCGCCGTGAACCACTTAATCGGTTCTGTTTCTTCGATTCCTCGGGCTGGCGATCCACCTCGCGCTTCCTCGTCGCTAGTCACTCGTCGCGTGTCTCCGCCTTTGCGAGGTTTCCAAGAAAACTTTCAAATTTCCATCGACGCGCAACTATTCGCGACATCTCGTCCGGCGATATCCTGTTAACCGACTTTTTAGCGCCAGCCTAACTTCTTCCGACAACTTTCAGTCCGGACGACAGGTCAGTTGTCGGACGATTCTAATTCTCGAACTACTCGGGGCAAGAACGGATCGACGATCGTGAGTCACCAACGGTCACCGACGAACTTATGGTCGAGTCGAACTCCTCGAACTCCTCGCCGAAAGGAAACAGGAGTCTACCGTGATAAAGACTTCCGAACTTCTCCCAGGTGTTCAGCACTACTCTGCGTTCTCGCAAGCTGCATAGATACAAGGTCTTCCAGCTAGAGGTTTAGTTTTGATTTATCGAGGAAACGCGTGTTTTTTTTTGTAAAATTTGATATGATTTTTATCTCAATCGATAGAGAAAGGTTTTACGTATAATGAAAAGCAATGTTCTACGACCTCTCTTGCACGCACATGCTGTTTGGATGTAATTTTTCATCACATTTTCACACATTTGCGGCTCTATTTAATCGATGACAGCTCGTATATTGTCGTTAACGCGTTCGCGGACATGAATGCTGCAGCATTAATTTTCATTGTGATGCAAAATCACATAAAAGCCACATAATCATATACTTTGTACTTTTTAATATTGTTATGCACTTTAATGTAATAGTGTGAGAATGAATCATCTGTCTTTTTTTGCAGCTAATTAAAATTTAGATTGTCCGCGAACGTGTTAAGTGTTTCAGTCGACTGGAGAGCATTGGCGTAAACGTTGTCTTTTACATAGCCTCAAAGAAAAACGTTCAAAAGTATTAAATCGCACGATCTCGGCAGCCAATTTTGATCATCGTTTCGAGAAATGACTCTGCCAGCAAACTTCTCAATCTCGAGAAATAAACGTCAGCGTAATTTTCATTATTTTTGTAGCGAATTTTAACAATTTCGACGCATTGCTGAAGCGCGAATCGTTCCATTTTTATTAATGACGTAACCTTCGCTTGTCATCTGTCAGAAGATGACAGCGAATCGTTCGACAGATGACAAAATAGCTATTCAAAATGAAACCTCTAGTCGGAAGACCCTGTACTTTAGCGAAAGTTCCTCTTATCCGATTAGGGACGCATCGGCCGATCGAAGCGCGGTCGATTTCTTTACAGTGGAGGAGCGCGATCATGCTCGGACCATCCGAGTCGGAGACTTTCGGGAATTTTCCGAGGCAGCGGACGAATCGATAACCGGTGCAGGCCCCTCCGACGCGCGATGAATGCATATCCGACCGGTGGCATATAGCAAACGGGAAGAATTAATCGGTACGCGTGAAAGATAAACCGACGACGGAATCGAGCGAGGCCGGAGAGGGAGTCGGCGAGGGGTCGGGCCGGTTATTTAGCGACGGGCTAATAATGGATCTGGGGGATGGGGCTCACGGTTCGTCGGACATCAAAGCGCCGCTCGGCACTCTCTTTGCATGAAACAACCCGATTTTCATGGGTCGTCTCTGTCAAAGAGCACCTTTAAGGTTCAATTTACCCTGGGGAGCGAATACCTCTTGCGAAGGGATTTTTCGGCGTGACGGCGTTTATAAAGTTTTCGGCTGTACGCCGAGATGCTCCCGTTTAAGATTCGACCGATTCGAAATTCTGCGGCGAACCGCGAGGGCTTTCGGGAGATTAGCGAGGCCGGGAGAAACGTCAAAGAGGCCGATAGCTTCTCTCCCGCTTCTCTTGCTTCTCCCGTTTCCCCCCCTAGCTCATGCCCTCCCAGTTCGAACAGTTCGCCCAGTTTGCCCGGTACGCCGGCTGGAAAGAAGAAATCTCGAGGATCCGGAGGCCGACCGAAATGAATGTTTCAGATCACGTTTCTCGCGCGCCGCGAAGCAACTTTTGTTCCGCTCCCCTTCCTACGATCTTTCGATCCTACGATCCTGCGATCCGAGGATCCTCCGATACGGAAGGAATCGCCTAGCGATCACGTCCGCGCCGCCCGAGTAAATTTAAATTTAAAACGAAACAAAACCGTGGCCGGAATGCGCGTGGGCGCGGTGACATAACGAGAACGATCGAGGATTTCTTTTCCGCAACGAAAGAGGACAAGGCCTCGACACGGACGATCGACTGGCGCGGACGGTGAAACCGTTTTACAACAGCGAAATCGCGATCCAAACAAATCGCTCTGCTAGACAACGTCGCAGAAGTTGTGTAGTGGAACCAGTTACTGTGGGGCGACCAATTGCTGTGCCTTTGGCTTGTTTTCCGGCATAATTAACTTTAACGTGATATATGAACAGACGTATGAAATATTTTTACCTCACAAATAAACAAAAACTAAAAGAATACAAGATTTTTATTCAGAAATAATCGCTTCATTTTTACCATAATCTCGGCTCGAGTAGATATTGAAAAATGACTTCTTCGCGCATGAATGCCTCCATTTGAACTTGCGAGACCTTGTAGTTTATTATAGTAGTATAAGAATGAATTCGTTTTAACACACACTTTTATATGATGCAGAAAAATACGTAGCATTCGATTTAGATAATTTTAGGTTACCTTCATTTCTAAGAAAGTAACGCAGATAAAAAGTGATACAGACAATATTATATCGTAAAACATAGTATAACCTTTCCCTCTTTCATTTTTGTCTAATGTTTACTATTTGCGAGAAAAACGCTTGCCAACGTTAACGCAAACACCCTGTACAGACGGATCAGTGACGGATCAAGTAGTTTCGGGGAAAAGTATACATCTGGTGGCGAGCGCGTCGAAGGTAGCCGTCGTAGTTTTATTCGATAAACACCAAGTTAATTACATCGAAAAACAAACCCAAGGCCCGGCGAATCGCGATATTTGCTGGAGTCACCAACGAATTTACCTTAACGTGAGATATTTGGCTGGTCGCAATGGACGAGGCAGGCTGTTGCTGTTCGTTGTGCAGGTTTTTACTTCAACTTTCTGGGACTCTCATCTTCCTCGCGGTGCCGCCACTTCTCGTCCACTTCCGCGAGCCGGAAAGCGCCCCTTCAGCGGCTCATGCTGCTCTCAACGCTCGCCGATCCGAACTGCCATCTGAAAAACATACGCGCACCGCGATCAGATTTTCGGATGATACACACATGCACACACACACACACACACACCGCCGGTAATCGAGCCGCAGTCCCTCGCGCACAATTTCGGCCTAGGGACTACCGATAATCGCGTGCACGCGTCGCAACGAAAATTGCGATCGGAATTGCAATTATGCCTCGAGCGCGTGATAAACCAACGCTGCGCGGCGCGGTAGTTTGGCCAAACGGTTCGCCAGTTGAAAGAGTGTGTCGGTTCGCGGTGTTTCCGGTTCTTAGACAATTTAATGGCCGGGGAGAGCGAAGCGATGTTTCGTAACGAGGTAATAAAGCTTCGATTTTTACGCCCGCCGGAAAGATCGTGGCAGAAACGAGGTCGCATCGTTATGACAAAATAAGCCAGCGATATGGAATAAAATCAGTCGTCGAGGACACGCGCAGCGCTCGACGGAACGAGTCTGATCGTGACTCGCAGTTTCTACTTGTCGATAGAATCTGCCACTACGCGGCAACGGAACACTCTTGTCGCACGTTTTTGACCTATGTATGCATTTCTTCAGAATGCTGAAACACGGCGTAGAATATCGACCGTTCTCAACGCAAATTAATTTAACTCTTCGCTGTATGGTTCGCGTAACTACATTATTAATATACAATACAATTATTAATATGAGCAAGTTCTGCGAATATCTGGACACCTTCTCCTATCTCTTCTTCTTGCGGAATTTGGACAATAGAATAAGATTATTATAGCATACATAATTTAATTTATAAGTTTAAGGTTCTTTC